AGGTCAAGCCTGCGGTGGCCGGGAGCGGCCACTGCACTCCAGTCTGGGTGACAGAGTGAGGCTCCAACTCAAAAAAAAAAAAAAAAAAGAAAGAAAGAAAGAAAGAAGGGCTGCTATTCAGTCAATTCAATTTGTAAGTCCTTATGTCCCCTCCAGGTCTTGAACTAGCCAAGAGATCTACCTCCCAAGAGATGTGTTAAGAACTGAAGTGTGCATGGACAAGAGAACCTACAAGATGAATATGGATTGTCTTCGGTTTTGTTTACACTGCAATTGCTAACATCATATGCTTTGGGGATATTTGAAAAGTTGTCACCAAAATGTGTAATTGTAATTGAGGTTTTGAGAGACCAAAGAAAGAACTCATGCAATAACATTGAAATGTGCATGGCAGTGTCTTCCAAACTTTGCTGCACATGAGAATCACCTGCAGAGCTTTGAAAATGGAAATGGGAGGGTGCAGTGGCTTGTGCCTATAATCTCAGCACTTGGGAGGCTGAGGCGAGGGGATTGCCTGAGCCCAGAATTTGAGATCAGCCTGGTCAATTAGGTGAGATCTCGTTTCTACAATCAATCAAAAAATTAGCTGGGCGTGGTGGCACTCGCCTGTAGTTCCAGCTACTTGGAAGACTGAGGCAGAAGAATCACCTGAGCCCAGCAGATCAGGGCTGTGGTGGCCGTGAGGGTGGCACTGTACTCCAGCCTGGGTGACAGTGAGACTCGCATTGAAAAAAAAGGAAAGAAAAGAAAAGAAAATGGAAAAACTGTACCCCATACCTAGGGGTGGGGATCAGAATGTCTGGGGCTAGGAGCCAGGTATTTGTATTTTATTACTTATTTATTTTTCTTTTTGAGTCGGAGTCTCACTCTGTCACCCAGGCTGAAGTGTAGTGGCATGCTCAGTTACCACAGCCTCGACCTGCTGGGCTCAGACGATCCTTCTGCCTCAGCCTTCCAAGTAGCTGAAACAACAGGCATGCAATTCCATGCCTGGCTTATTTTTTGATTTATTGTAGAGATGAAGTCTCACCAAGTTGCCCAGGCTGGTCTCGAACCCCTGAACTCAGGCAGTCCTCTCGCCTTGGCCTCCCAAAGTGCTGGGATTACAAGCTTGAGCCACTGTGCCTGGCCAGAATTTGTATTTTAAAAGATCCCTAGGTGATTCAAAAGTTCAGCATAGTTTGGGAAACATATGGTATTGCAAGTGTAAGCAATTTGTGACATATTACCTAAAGGACTCAACTAAACTTATAGAACACTTTAATCCACAGACCTCGTGAAGATTTAGATTTAAAATGCTTCAAAATTATGGTAGTAGCTTACTTAATAAAAAAGAAACTGTCAGTGAAATAGAAAATTATTCTGTAAATCTAAAATACTGTCAAAAGATTACAATCCACTCCATTTTAGGGGAGAACATCAGGAACATTTATTTCCAGCTTCAAAATTCTTTTTATAAGTACAGATACAGAAGAAATACTGACAAGATGAAGGGGGGAAAGGATATAAATTAAAAAACGCTAAAATGATTATTTACTAAGAATTGCAAATACTCATTTTCTGGGTACACCACAAAGTTCCATTCTCTGTTCCTAGGACTTTGCGTAATTCACAGGGACATGATGGCGGAGGGCTCTTGCTTTCTGTTTATCAAAATAAACCTGAATGTTCCTTGTCCCAGCTCTCAGTGAAAACTGAGACTTTACTCATCTTCATGAAAAAAAAAAAAGAGAAAGAAAAGAAACGTGTTCCAGTAGTGAGCTCGCCTGCCGTTTTAACTGTTCTGTGATTGCAACGTCTCTCCTAATTGATCAGCCCTCATTCAACAGATTTTCATGTGTCAGGAACATTCGAGGATCATATCAGCCGAGACTCCTGCTGCCTGTCTGCTACAGAGAACAATTTACAATAACAAACACACACCAGATTTGGATGAATCACCCTCCCCGGACCTATTGGGATCATTCAGTTCCTCAAACAGTCCTGTTTCTATAATTTCTTCCTGCCATGCAATGGGGACAGCACCTGTTGCAAATTTTTGGAAGAACTTCTTATCCTTGTCATCAAATTCTATCCCCCGAACCTCGGAGAAATCATCAATTTCACCGATGTCTTTGGCATAAACTACCGAAGGGTCTGGCACAAATGGGGGTTCAACTAGGCCGGCTTCCAGGCGAGGAAAGTTGATGGTTTTAAAGAAAGGGTGTTTCCTGGGATCATCAGACTTTTCTCTGTGAAAAAAGGAGGCAATCAGCCTGAGACACAGTTAACAAGGCAAGACAGGAAATGTTCTAACAAGACAAAACATGTAGCATTCTTTTCTTATAATACATCTCATTTTCATTGCAAAGTCAATATAATGACTTAAAGAATAACTGAAAAATAATAATCTTTAAAATGACTGGACGTGATGACTTACCCTGTAATCCCAGCACTTTGGGAGGCCAAGGCAAGAGGATTGCCTGAGCATGGGGGTTTGAGCCCAGCCTGGGCAACTTGGAGAGACCTCATCTCCACAGTAAATCAAAAATAAGCCAGGTGTGGTAGCGCACGCCTGTAGTTCCAGCTGCTTGGAAGGCTGAGGCAGAAGGATCACCTGAACCCAGCAGGTCGAGCCTGCGATGGCCACGAGCGTGCCACTGCACTGCAGCCTGGGCGACAGAGTTAGACTCCGCCTCAAAAAAAAAAAAAAATCTTTAAAACCACCCCAAAGCTGGGCTTGGTGGCTCAGCCTGTAATCCCGCGCCTTGGGAGGCTGAGGTGAGTGGATTGCCTGAGCCCGCGGGTTTGAGACCTGCCCGGGCAACTTGGTGAGACCTCATCTCTACAATAAATCAAAAAATCAGCCGGGTGTGGTAGCGCATGCCTGTAATTCCGGCTACTTGGAAGGCTGAGGCGGAATAATTGCCAGAGCACAGCAGTTCGAGGCTGCCACTCGGGAGCGGCCACTGCACTCCAGTCTGGGCGACAGAGTGAGACTCCAACTCAAAAAAATAAAATAAAATAATAATAATAAAATAAAATAAAACCACCCTAAATTCCACTATAAATATAGTAGCATTTTCATGTTTGCAGACAGCCTTCACATGCAGATGTAACTTTTAAATAGCCCAGCATTGGACATGTCTTTTATTCTTAGTGTTTCATGAAAATACCAGGAAAGTTCTGTGGGGCCAGATCTGCTACAGCTGCTAGTCATTGTCTCTTCAGGGTCATCCAGAACAAGTTCAGCATATCTCTGTTCCACACAACCACACTCACGTCTTATTTCTTAGAGACTGGATCTCACTCTGTCACCCAAGTTGGAGTGCAGTGGCATGACCATAGCTCACTGCAGCCTCCAATTCCTAGACTCAAGTGATCCTCCCACCGCAACCTCCCAAGTAGCTGGGACTATAGGCATGCACCACCACACCCAGTTAATTAAAAAAAAACCAAAAACTTTTTGTAGAAACAGGATCTCACTTGTTGCCCAAACTAGTCTTGAACTCCTGGCCTCAAGGGATCCTCCTGCTTCAGCTTCCCAAAGTGCTGGGTCTACAGGCATGAGCCACTGCACCCAGCAACCACTCACATTTTAAAAGACAGCACTCATATCTCCTTATCTATAATGTGACATGATTTCTGGCAGCCTCATCCACCTCCCCAACTGCCACAATAATCTTGATGTTATTTCTTTAAAGACAAAAAATTCATTAGTAATTTGCAGTTGTATAAATGAACATGCATTTGGTATTCAAGACTATGATTATTATCATCAAACACTCCTCCTTTGTGCTAGAAATTATTTCAGTATCTGCCTTAGAATAAGAGACAAAAGTATGTTCTCAACTATATAATCTCTGGTGTTAGTTCTCTGATGTTTTTTGTTTAGTTTTGTTTTATTTTTGAGTTGGAGTCTCACTCTGTCACTCAGGATTGGAGTTCAGTGGCACGCTCACAGCCACCATAGCCTCAACCTGCTGGGCTCAGGTGATCCTTCCAAGTAGCTGGAACTATGGATGAGCACCAACATGCCCAGTTAATTTTTTGATTCATTGTAGAGATCTAATTTTTTTATTTGTTGTAGAGAGGACTCACCAAGTTGCCCAGGCTGATTTCGAACCCCTGGGCTCAGGCAATCCTCTTGCCTCCACCTCCCAAAGTGCTGGGATTACAGGTGTGAGCTACTGTATCTGGTTATCTGTTGTTGTATAAAAAATGGCCTCTTTGTGACCTGCCTGGGCAACTTGGCGAGACCTCATCTCTACAATAAATCAAAAAATTAGCTGGGTGTGGTAGCACACGCCTGTAGTTCCAGCTACTCGGAAGGCTGAGGCAGAAGGATCGCCGGATCCCAGCAGGTTGAGGCTGCGGTGACCGGGAGCGGCCACTGCACTCCAGGCTGGGCAACAGAGTGAGACTCCAACTAAAAAAAAAAAAAAAAAAATGGCCTCAATGGTTAGTGGCCAAAAATAACAAACGTCATTATCTCCACAGCTTCTGTGGATCAGAATCTGGACATGGCTTAACTGCATATTTCTGTCTTAAAGTCTTTTGTAAAGAGGCACTGAAGCTGCTGGCCAAGGCTGTGGTCTCATCTGAAGGTTCAACTGAGTTTGTGGGAATTTGCTTCCAAGTTCATTCGTGTGGTTATTGTCAAGTCTCCCTCCCTCACCACATGAGCTTTTCTACTGGGCTGCCTTATCACTGTAGCTGACTTTTTAAAAAAAATGATGAGAGAGAGAGGATAGACTTTTTATAAGCTAATCTTGGAAATGACATCTCATCACTTCTGCTATATTGTTTCCTAGAAGCAAGGCAGTAAGTCCAATCCACCTTTAAGGTAAAGGGATCACACATGGATATGAATGCCAGGAGGTAAGGATCTCTGGGACTGTCTTAGGGGCTGCCTACAGTACTTCTCTTAGTTTGTCTTAAATCTAGGATTTAACAAAAACAAAATAAAAAAGGAGCTGTTTGTGGTATCATACACAAAACAAATATTTTCTTTTCTTTTCTTTTTTTTTTGATTTATTGTAGAGATGAGGTCTTGCCAAGTTGCCTGGGCTGGTCTCAAATCCCTGGGCTCAGGCAATTCTCTCACCTCAGCCTCCCAAAGTGCTGGGATTATAGATGTGAGCCACTGTGCCCAGCCTAAATATTTTCTTTTCTAAAAATGTGAATTGGACCGGGTACAGTGGTTCATACCTGTAATCCCATCACTTTGGGAGGTTGAGGAGAGAGGATTGCCTGAGGCCAGGTGTTCAAGATAAGCCTGGGCAACATAGTGAGACCTCATCGCTACAAAAAATAAAAATAATCAGCCTGCAGACCCAGCTATTCAGGAGGCGGAGACAGAAAGACTGCCTGCGCCCAGGAGGTCAAAGTTGTAATGAGCTGTGATCATGCCACTGCACTCCAGCCTAGGTGACAGAGTAAGAACCTGACATGCCCCCCCCAAAAGAAGTAAATTGATTTCCTGGTTTTCTTTGGGTTTTTTTTGAGTTGGAGTCTCACTCTGTCACCCAGACTGGAGTGCAGTGGCCGCTCCCAGCCACTGCAGCCTCAACCTGCTGGGCGCCGGCGATCCTTCCACCTCAGCCTTCCGAGTTGCCAGAATTACAGGTGCGCACTACCACACCCAGCTGGTTTTTGATTTATTGTCTCGCTGCCCAGGCGGGTCTCGAACCCGCGGGCTCAGGCAATCCACTCACCTCAGCCTCCCAAAGGCGCGGGATTACAGG